TACCAATATGAGAAACTCGTGCATGAACATAGCTCATTGTTGTATGACAGTGTAATGTCCAGTGTGTGAAAGGGCTGTGTTGGACCTATTTATCAGTGGTAACTATCATAAGGGAATTCCTTCGGTTTAGTGGTCATAAAAGTTCACAAATGTTGATTGTTGACTTGTTGATAGAGATTTGCTTTTATTGTTCTTCACAAGTTGATTTCCTGAAGTACTTCACTGCAGGTTCTTGTGGAGAAAAAATGCAAGCTTTGCAATATCAAGGCACTACAAGCGTTTTGATGTTTTTGTAGAAGCAGAAGCGAATAAGGCAGCTGCAAAGTTTGATAATACTTCCATCGATTTCCAGGTTGACTTCTATAAAAAGGAAGGACTAACTCCGTATTCCCGGGCTAAACTTCCTATTACAAGTGGTAAGTGTGTGGTTATCTTTTTTTTCATCTTTGTTACGTTCTTCTTGTAATTCCTCCCCACTCACCACCTTAATGTAGCCACCGATTTCAGTTTGATAACCATGTTAACATACTATTTATATGCAGATGTCCCTGAGGGATGTGTAATAATAAGGGAGCACATTCCGATCTCCAATCTCTTTACTTGTCTTTGGTTTAATGAAGTGGACCGTTTTACTCCAAGAGACCAAATAAGCTTTGCCATTGTAAGAGATAAGATCATGTCAAAGATAAATTGGACTGTGAATATGTTCTTAGACTGCGAACGGCGTAACTTTGTGATTCAGGTGATCTTCATATCTTTACCTTCTGGATTTTCAGTTTATAAGTAAAACAGAGAACAGCCTTGATGCACTTGGTCACTTGATGATTCGCGCAAAAAAATCATTATATGCTAATGCTTGCGCCTGATATGGTTCAAGTAGAAGAACACGCTATACATAATTGCTATCACTGTTCCACATAGTTGAATTAGATGAACTAATATTAAAAGCTACTTGTCAAGATGAGCTTTTTTGATGTACTTCCTGCATGCTGTATACCAAACTATGTAAATGCTTATTTCTGTCATTTTCTTTTGCTATCTGCAGGGGTATCACAGAGACATTCTTGGTCGCCTGACTCCACCTCGTGCAAGTATAATCGTTCATCCTCCACGTCCTGTAATTCTTGAAACCCGGCATACCTCACCATTTGTTCCAACATCAACTGTCATAACCACTCCAATCAAAAAGATTCCCACGAAGCGTGGGAGAGAGAGGAAATCCAAGCGTCATAGAAAAGTCATTGCTGGAAATAAAGATCCTAATTTCAATTAAAATTTTTGATGTGAGCACAAATTTTATTTTTTTCCTTCCCTGTTTTCAGTATATCAAATCGCGGGGTTAGGAACTGTGAAAGATGAATGTTATAGCTGTTGTTTCGAAAAAAAAGAAAAGGTCAGTATTCAAGTTCTTTAGAAAGTGTCAATTTTGTCTAATTTTTTGTTGTATATATTGGAGTCTTGGTATGTATTGTCATAGCAATTTCACACTGCAAATTGCCTTCTCTAATCACTAGCTTCATGTACTATTTCTTCTCATAGAAATGTTGATTCTGAAGCAAAGATGGAATTCAATTTCCTTTATACTAATGTCTATTGTGTTGTTACAAGTAATTTTCGAGAGTAGCAATTTGTGTTTGACAAATCAATTTGAAAAACACTTTTGCTAAAATAGCGTTGCAATTTGTTTTTGGTCGTCAAAGTTTCAAAAGTGCTTATGGGAAAATGTTATTGTTTATGCTTCTGAAATTTATGCTATTGGCAGAGGGTCTACCAGAAACAACCTCTCTATCTGTCAAGGTAGAGATAAGATCTGCATATACTCTACTATTTTCAGACCTCAAATGTAAGACTATACTGATTATATTGTTGTCAAATTTATGCTACTAAAAAGTATGTATTTCCCCCTTACTCCATAATATACATATTTTTTAAATACAAATAACATAGATTATAGATGCTTATGCACATATTATGGATGGATTATGCATATGTTCTATTATATATTCGCCAACTATTTTTAGTTTAAACTACTGAGTGGATAATGTTAATTCTTAAAAAAAGACAAATACTTTGGGCTTTTCACAAATTTGACCAAAATAGAATATGGTTTGGGTTCATTGAACAAATAAGACAACATGCTAAGATTCTAGTGTTGATTTGTCATATCAAGACTATTATGAGCTTCACATGGGTATATGGCCTATGTTGTTGATTGATCATTGAACATGTTTTTTTTTATAAAAAAATTGAAGCAACAAATTTGCATAACTTTCTATTAGAGGTTAAATAAGTTTTTATTGAACTCGTTACTCTCTTATCGTTTCATAAGTATATACAAAATATTCTTGGACTTGACTATGTTAAAAGCCCAACAATAACTTCTTCAAAAATTAATTGAGGCAAAAGTGGTGGTGCACCACCTGCACCAGGGGAGGAGCCAGCCTTCTGTAAGGGGTTCATCCGAAGACGGAAAATTTTATTAATTATACATGGTTAAAATTATTAATATGTATATATAATAGATGTCGAACCCCCTTCGATTAGTTCGTGTGTTTAGTTCTTCAGATATTGAACCCCCTCATTAAAAATCCTAGTTCCGCCACTGACCTGCATCACCACCAAAAATCACGATATTCCGTGACTTTGGAGGAATTCTTATCAAGTTGGTTCTGAATAAAGGCGGCCTGAGATAACATCGAGGCGTCATGCTTCAATACCAATGAAGAAGAAGCATATAATGAAAGTATATCCATGTTGCCTTCATCATTTGAAAAGGTTATTGAGTCCTATTTTCAAGTACACATGTGATACAAAAATTATATTCACATATGAAGATCTTTTTCAAGAGAAACATTGCATAATCGTCTTTTGTATATGGTGGGTCATGTGCTAAAAAAGAGGATAAAAATTACTATAACATAACATTTTATGTCTTATTTTCTCAATTTCTTCTATGTAGGCATCTAAAAAGGATTTTTCAAATTTTCAACGTCATGATTTTTTTTTTAAAAGATAAAATTTTGTGGGTTAAGAAAAGAAAAATAGAAGAGGGGATTAACAATGTATAAAGTTAAATTTTAACTTAAACGGAAGGGGTACTAATATAATTTCAACAATAAATAAGAAGAGACTGAAATTTATATATAAATCGCATTTGCCGAATGTGTTTTATGCCTTATTTTCTCAGCTCCTTCTATTTAGGCATTTAAGAAGGGTTTTTCAAATTTTCAACGTCATGACCTTAAAAGACAAAAAATAAAATTGTGGGTCGAGAAAAGAAAAATAGACGAGGGGATTAACAATGTGGAGAATCGAACATTCACTGATAAAGCTAAATTTATACTTAAACGGAACGAGTAATAATGTAATTTAAATAATAAATAAGAAGAGACTAAATTTATGCATAAATCGCATTAGCTGAATGCGTTTTATGACTTATTTTCTCAGCTCCTTCTATTTAGGCATCTAAGAAGGGGTTTTCAAGTTTTCAATACCATAACCTTTTTTAAAAAGACAAAAATAAAATTGTGGGTCGAGAAAAGAAAAATAGAGGAGGCCTTTTAACAAATTGATATAGTTAAATTTTAACTTAAACGGAAGGGGTAATAATGTAATTTCAACAATAAATAAGAAGAGACTGAAATTTATACATAAATCGCATTCGCCTAATGCGTTATTTGCCTTATTTTCTCAGCTCCTTCTATTTAGGCATCTAAGAAGGATTTTTCAAGTTTTCAACGTCATAACCTTTTTAAAAAAGACAAACAATAAAATTATGGGTCGAGAAAAGAAAAATAGACGAGGGGATTAACAATGTGGAGAATCGAACATTCACCGATAAAGCTAAATTTTAACTTAAACGAAAGGGGTAATAATGTAATTTCAACAATAAATAAGAAGAGACTGAAAATTATACATAAATTGCATTCGCCGAATGCGTTTTATGTCTTATTTTCTCAGCTCCTTCTATTTAGGTATCTAAGAAGGGTTTTTTCAAGTTTTCAACGCCATAACCTTTTTTTAAAAAGACAAAAAATAAAATTGTGGGTCGAGAAAAGAAAAATAGAGGAGGGGATTAACAATGTGGAGAATTGAACATTCACCGATAAAGCTAAATTTTAACTTAAACGGAAGGGGTAATAATGTAATTTCAACAATAAATAAGATGAGACTAAAATTTATACATAAATCGTCTTCGCCGAATGCGTTTTATGCTTATTTTCTCAGCTCCTTCTGTTTAGGCATCTAAGAAGGGTTTTTCAAATTTTCAACGCCATGACCTTTTTTAAAAAGACAAAAAATAAAATTGTGGGTCGAGAAAAGAAAAATAGAGGAGGGGATTAACAATGTGGTGAATCGAAAATTCACCGATAAAGCTAAATTTTAACTTAAATGGAAGGGGTAAGAATGTAATTTCAACAATAAATAAGAAGAGACTGACATTTATATGTAAATCGCACTACGCCGAATGCGTTTTATGCCTTATTTTCTCAGCTCCTTCTATTTAGACATCTAAGACAGGTTTTTCAAATTTTCAACGCCATGACCTTTTTTTTAAAGACAAAATAAAAATGTGGGTCGAGAAAAGAAAAATAGAGGAGGGGATTAACAATATTGTGGGTTTATAAATTATATTAATTAATTAAATTATAACCAATAGTTGAGCGCCACGTATTTAAAAAAATATTTAAATAGTTTAAATTTAAAACCGTTAAATAAGTGGTCAATTTTGGACCCAAAGGTGGATGACAAGGGCATTTTGGAGCCAATAGGTGGATGGAGGATAATTTTGTACAATTTCCAATGCTTCGAGGGTATTTTAGGCCTTTTTCCGTTTTAAAATTCCAGGTTTTCTTTAATGAACAAATTCAAAACGATTTCTTCCATCCTAATTTATGTGATGCATTTAATTAGGCATGAGTTTAAAACAAAAGTTTTTTTCTTTTAAAATTTATGATCTTTAAGATAAAATGAGAAGTTGTATTAAATCTTATATTGACCGGATAATTACATAATTTTGAAATAACCAAACAAGCACTAAAAGTTTTGATTGAATTCACAACAAGCAAAGCCTACTCGATTCAACTTATTTACAAGCTTGATTGAATTCGACTCGACTAGATAGATTAAACATAAACTCTATTATAGACTCGAATTGACTCGAACTCAATTGCAAGCTTAATTGAATTTGATTCCACTCGATCAAATCAACATAACTCTATAACAAGCTTGATTGAACTCAACTCTATATCCAGACCTAATTATAACTTGGCATACTTCTTGATATTCACACCAGCATCTTTGACATTTTTTGGTATAGGCATGTTTGTCTTGATAGTAACTCTTGATGAAGAAATCAAAATTCTTTCCCCTAAATTTAAAGAATTTTTTTTCCATAAATTCACTTCCCAAACATGAATTGATTTTCCAACATTGAGAGGTTTAGCCTCAGCATAAACAATTTCACCAAGATTTGCACTTTTTAGGTGGTGGATGCTGAGGTGGACTCCAGCCACCCTTCCAAATCCAGACGCCACGTGGGCGCCCATGCTAGCCAGAGACTCGGCTACTAGAGCTGAAACTCCACCATGCAACACATCAAAAGGGTTGCAACATTTTTTGGCCACCAGAAAGTAACCGAAGATTTTCTGAGGGGAGATCTCTGAATTTTCAAAACCAATAACATTAAGTGGTGCATCTAAAATCTCTTTCATTGGAATTGATTTTGTTGATGACTCCATTTTTTTCTCTCTCTTTTTTTCTTTTTTTTGCTTCCTTTAATTTTCTCTTGAATTCTTGGAAATGATGTGGGGGGATTGGAACCAAAAATGAATTTATATAGAAATTTATTTATTGGTTTGGATTTGTTTTCTACTTTTACAAAAAATAGGATAAAAAGAGATTATTTTTTTTTTAATAATTAAGGAACTAGACTAATGATGAGAGTGGTGATGTAATTATGTTTTTATTTTGTGATCGGTATCACCCTTTTTTGGTTTGTAAGATAATAATGTCTGAGTCAACTTGCGTGTATATTTTATTATATTTTTGTTTGAAGCAATGGATAAAGATGGGATAAAAGGATAAAAATATATATTATTTTCTTTTACTAGTCAGCTTTAGCAAATTAAAAAAATAATAATCTAAGTTTATCCTTTTCATTATTAAGTAACCATTCCAAACTAATTGAGGTATTATTAATCGATGGATAATAGATAGTATGTGAATATTTTTATCTATTTCGTTAATTTTGAGAGACGGAGGAAATTAGATTAACAAAAAAGTTAAATAATTATCGATTCAAAAATGTGTCACGTCCTTTTTATCGGCATTATAATAAATTTCAAAAATCAAGACAAAGTGGAGTAGACCGATCGATTTAAATTTGTTAAATTATCATTAATAAAGATAATTTAATAAAATAAATACTTAATTAATATTTTCCTCAAAAAAATGTAAAATAAAAACGAATATATACTATGGTGATGATGATAATGTAAAATTGTAGTACATATTTTGCTTGGTGGTTGGTCACTTTTAGGTGATACATTTAAAGTTTCTAAAAATAGAATATTAACTTATACAATCAGAGCATATATATAGTCACACATTTATTTCTTTTCCTGATTTATCAATTCATCATATTTAATAAAAAAACTATTAAATTGCTAGTGGCAAAAGTTGCTTACATTATCAATATATAAAAATTGAACTCTAATTTCTTTTGGTCGGTGTAATAAACTTTGATAATGTATACGTAATCTTATTCCTTTCTTGTGAAGGTTAGGATTTCTCCGATAGATCTTCGGCTCAAGTAAATTAGGTAAATAATATTTATAGGCATATTGTAATTCTATTTTTAATCAATGGCAGAGTTGATATTCTTGTTAAAACAATTCAAAATATAAAGAAGTAAACACGCGAAGAATTCGATAAGACAATATTTATTATACATATACATTAAAACGACAATATATATGATCAACTCATTATCAAGGTGTGTATTAATACTAATTCAGAATAGGATTGCACTCATTAACTTATCTAGTAGGTTTATCTCAAAATAAATAATTATTTGTAGTTATTTTTTAATCAACACGATTGTGTAAATTACTTTTTTGTGATAAATATTGTTCAATATTTCTTTTTGGTTTCTAAATATTTATTAATACCCACTTTAAAATCCAATTAATTCGAATATCCCACCGCAATTCTTGGTGGTGGTATCATTTAATGTCTTAGAAAGTTAAGCTTTAACATTAAATCATGCATTTTTCAAGTTGTAACTGACTTTAAACTTATCCACTAATCCAAAAACTTTAAAAGACTTTCTTACCATTAAAACCTCATTAAATTAATACTAAGTAAATTAATAATCTCCTTAAGATAATATTTTCTTCATGTCTCAATTCGGGTCAATGAAGAAACTCATCAATTTCGATAAGATAATAAGATGACATATTTTCAGAAGACCTTTGTATAAATATATGGTCCCGTTAATATATAAATTAATACTAATTCTTTTAAAGTACAAATATATCTAAGATAATTTATTAAAATATGATTCTATCTGGTTTTTTTTGTTAAAATTTAAATCTAGTTGAAACTCATCTCTAACTTTTCTTATCGCATCCAAAAGTTTCGATATTGTCTTTTCGAATTGCACCATAAAATTGTGACTAGAGTTTTATATGCGATAAGTGTTTCCTTATACGTAATTGGTTCCAAAGGTATCGTATCAAATTCAATTTCACCATCAACATTATTTTTTTCGATGGTATCCACAATTTCTTCTAAGTTATGAACCTCTGAACATGTAACATTGTTCTAGATATGATAAGTGTTTTTTTTTTTTTAAACCCTCCCCTAGGAGCTCCCACCCCTTTTGCTCCCTTGGTGACTCGAACTTGCAACCTTCGGGTTGGAAGTGAGGGGTGCTTACCATCCGAGCAACTCCTTCTCGTCGATAAGTGTTTTTCAAACTGCATCATAAATTTATTTTTTATGTAAATTTAATAAATATGATACATAAAATAGTAAGATGCAATGATTTGGATGTAATCAAAATTAATCTTTATTGAATCTCAAAACACTCTTTAAATTAATAAATATTAATTTATCAATTAAATAATTTCACGGTCCCACCTATATTAATTTAGTGAGGTTTTACTGTATATTATATACAGTTCACGTCAAAATAACATATTTAAAATATCTTTTTTTTGTTTCACGAATTTATATATCAACTATCCCTTATTTTTGTAATTTATCTAACCTATCACTTTTTTTTTTATATTAATACACACCTTGATAATGAGTTGATTAAATATTTACTTTCATTCGATACCACACGTGTATAGGCCAACTCCAACATCAAGGTGTGTGAGGTTTGCGAGTTTTTTCCGTAACTATTCATTGTTCTCTTTATCTATCCATACTATCACTCCCTTTATATTAAAACATACCTCAATAATAAGTTGGTTACATATTTGTTTTCATAACAGACATGAGACATGTGTAAATCAATTCAGCGTCAAAGTATGTTTCAAACCATGAAAGAGATAACGTTGAAATATAAAACTCAAAGAAAATGTGATAATTTAATTTATATAGGTAAATAGAGATTTTTCCTTGAAAAGAGGCAATCTGATAATTAACTTTTTTTTGTCAACTAACATTCTTGACAAAAGAACCAAGTAAAACTGTTACAAATTTTTTATAAAAATGAATAATACTAGTACATTGACTATCTACTGCACTTAAATGCAGGATTGCTATAAGAATATCACGAACAAATAATTAAAGTTTGGTTTGAATTAAGTTATGATGAGATAAATTATGACGGGATTAGTTATGATGGGATAAGTTATGATATGATTATTTTTTATTAAGTGTTTGGTTTGTTATATTCAAAATAATAAATTTTAAGAATAATTTATTTCTTTACAAAAATACCCTTCATGAATTTAAAAAGTGATATATAAAAAGGGTTTAAAGAGACATTTTTGTCACTTACTTATTTATCCCAGGATAACCCAAGGGAAGGAATAACTTATCCCGGTCCTAATTATTAATCCTGGGATAAGTTATCTCGGACTTGCCAATCAAACAACAAATTAAGTGGCACTATAATTTAATCCCAAAACTATTTGATATTTATACCGAAGAGATTTGATAAGATTATTTTATTTTATTTAAATTATAAGAGCACACGAGATCTTATTATCTTCTGGTTGCCTATGAAATTGTATTGTCTTATACTTTTGAATATTGTATTCTTATTAGTTACTATTACTTAAATTTCATTGTATTGTAGTGTTAAATATTTAGTTATGACTTATGTAGACAAAGAGTCCAATTTTACGTAATCATTTTGGTGTTGTTCCATAGTTATTTCATTTTTTCCATATTTTGTTTTTTCCTTATTATACTCTTTGTTTCAATCTGTTTGTCTTATCTTATTATTAATTTATTTTTAAAAAATGTAGGGTTTCTGTTTTAGCAACTCTTTAATATCAATTTTTCATATGACGTTTAAAACCACAAAATTAAAAGATATCTTTGTATATTTGATATATTTTTAATTAAAAAATTACATTACACTCTACTTTGAATCTTACTTTTCAAATCGATATATTCTTCAAAGTTCAAATTGTTAAAATTAAAATTATTTTAAAAAGTATATATTTATAGTAGATGTTAAATTCCTTTTATTTTTTCATATTCTGATTCCGCTACAGATTGCGACTTTGCTAGTTGGATCGAGACACGACGATGTGACACACACAACCCCTGTCTATATGACATAACAAAAATTATTGTTTCACTTTATTTGGCACTATTTCATTGAAATAGAACAATATCGATTCATACATACGAAACAACGGAATGTAAAATATGGATACAATAAGGGAAAAGATCATATAGTTCTCCACTGAGACAAACTCTCAACGGATCCTCTGCATGCTGGGAATGGGGAATAGAAAAACAGGGGAAGTCCCGGCCCAGGGTGAGCTTTGTTTATTTAAGAGAGAATGGGGAGTGAATCGAAGTACGATTCTTTCATGGATTGAGGCATTAATTCACAAACTAAAATGGCACAGGAGGAGAAGGCAACAAAATTCAGCTCATAAGAAGTGCAGCATGCTGCTACACGAGATACCTTTAAATGTGTCAAATCCAACTTGTTCAGGAAGGGCTAAAAAATTTCAGCCAGTATACATTTCAAACCGATACTGACATAGCATAACATTTCGTGTCGATTCTCAGTAGAGAAAGCAATTAAGTTCAAGGGTGTAAACAGCAAGTCAAAGCTTTTAGCTAAAATGTCTCGATATCACATAACGTGCCCATCAAAACACTAAAGGGTGGGAGCTTACTCCAGTGTGAAAACGTATCCTAACACCATCATCATCATCATCATAAGCTATGTAGCGAAGTCTAGAAGGCCAACAAACTACATCGACAAATTCTTGAAAGCGGAACCAGTGAATGATCAAGCAGAAACTTTTTTGCAGTAGGATGATCTAAAACATAATGAAGAATACTGCAGAGATCTTGAGAAAACAGGGTCCTGATTACTCCCACATTGTTGGTCTATACATCTTCTGGTGAAGTATACATTTAATCTCATTCACCGACTAAAAATAACGGTATTCCCCTGAGGATAAATCAAATTTGGCTTCATGTTAGGTGTCAGGTCTCAAAAAATAATAAAAGGAAAATACACATGCCAGCAAATGTGCAGTTTATCCTCGCAATGG